CCTGATTTTCATTGTATTTCTCCCTTGTCAGTTAGAGAATTGAGAACCTTCTCTAAGATTCAGAAGAAGATTGGTCTTTACTTGGATCTCTTGCTGAATAAATGAATGTTTTTATTTGTTTATTGCAATGATTTCTAAAGAGATGGCGTACGACGGAAACCTATATATCCTCAGTATGCAAGAGATCGCTCCCCACATAAAAGGGATTCCCCTTACTTCAGAGAATCACCGATTGGCCGGAAAGAATCTCCTCACAGCAGATCTGGCTCCAGTGTCAGCAGCAGAAGTTATTCACCTGACAGAAGCAAAGCCTACACCTTCCATCAGTCCCAGCATAGCAGAAGTATGTCATCTTTACATAAAATAAATATCTCCCTGCAAGGTAATGTAGGATTAACCATTCAAAAAAGAACACCCAAAGCCATGAGCTGGAACGGCTATCCTTACAAACAAAATCTACAATACTTAAAACCGGAAAAAAATCAGTCCTTGGCACCATGTAATTTTACATTTTCTCAGGTGAAAGAATATTTCAAGTAGCAATTTTGCATAGTAAGCAAACAGGAAAACCCTTTAATCTTAAAAAGACACGACAGACAGGAAAAGAAGACACAAAGGGAGTGGGAAGGAGGAGAAGAAAAGCAAGTAATTTCATTATTTTATCTTGTCATTTCATTTCAGTACACACATTTTGTTGGTATGCAATATTTTATTGCAAATTCTCATTTCATTGAGATTTTTTTATATTATATCTTTGTTTACAAAGTAAGTGAGGCCTTTAAAATTTTATCTGACCCAGAATTTCACATTTCCTTATTATTTCCTTATTGTGTATGTCACTACATATTTTCAAGCCACAGGTTTAATAATTTAAGGATATCCCTGTAAGCATGTTGATGGTATCCAAAGAGTCCTTATCTATATGAACATGGAAGCATGCTTTCACTATATACATTCTTCTTTATCCCTGCTACTTCTTGGTTTCCAAGAAAATGGGTAAAGTCATCTGGATGATGGAGGAGATATGATGCTGGGAAAACAGAAGGAAATATTAATTGATGAAAATAATTGCCCACTTAAAGGATGTATGGATGTTACACACAAGTGTAAAATCTCTTGAGCAGTAGTTCTGTCCCTGGATATCTAGGAAGCAGTCTCTGCATCTGTCTTGAACTAGGAATATAATAAGAATTATGTGAAGATGTTTTTATGATCCATAGTGAAATTGCTCCTAGAGGTAATACAATGTAGTCCCTTGATTTTATTTAGGAAAATACTAAAGCAATGAAATAATATGACTCTCAAAGCAAAGTTATATTAGAACTTTGTGACAGCTTTATTTGAATTCAGTTTGTACATAATTGCTTCACTGTCACATGACGTTTTGTGATATATTTTCTTTTTCCCTTTGGGATGGATGTGGTCTGTGTGTAAGACGCATCTGGCCCGTGGGCCACCAGTTTGACACCCCTGATCTAGATTATTGTACTCTTAAGTCTAAATGAAAAGGCAGAGGTTTATTCAAGCTGTTCAATTGATATTGTATATAAAATGCCAAATATATCAAACTTCATGCTGATCACAAAGTGAAAAGGAGATAAATCTTAATTATCAGGAAAATTCCCATTTCCTAGTAATTATATACTAGCAAAATAAAAAATAAAAACACCTTTATTTATCATACCACTGGTTTGCATACTGTAGGTTGAAAAATATTGGTCTAACCCAGTGGATCTCGAAGTGTGGTCTGGGAAATCTGGTGATCCCCAAAATCTTTCAAACGGTCCACCAAGTCAAATATTTTTAACATTTTTTTAAAATTTTTGATGCAGCAGATATTGCTGCACATACTCTTTCAATCACTTAAAAAAGATAAGCCTCAATCGTTAAGAACGTTAGAGAGCTGTTCAGACCAAAATATTTTGAGATCCACTAGTCTAATCCATATTCAACACATAGAATCTTAGTTTTGTAAGATTTTCAGTCTAACCATACAGGCTAAAATGTTTTTTCTGCTCATATCTTTGTATCCTCTTTGCATAAAGAGAGATCTTCGACTCAGAGTTTGAAGACTTCAAGAGACGCATCTCCTTCAGGAGCTACAGCAAGATCACCTGCAAAAGTAAGCTTATTATCTAAATTGTTCTAAATCTTTAGCAGTAAAAATAATTTGAATGGAGAATGTTTTTAAGTGTTACATTAAGCTGAAGTGCAATGGGATTTTCAGTTAGTCTCTTCTGTACCTTGGTACACCTGTGTCCTTAGTTTATTTTGGAAAGTTTATCAGTTTTCTGCAGAAGATCTATTGTTGAGAAGTTCTGCTGGAGGAAGGATTTAAACGTTCTTTATTCGGTACATAGCTCTTGCTGCGGTAATACATTTGAGTCTGCTTAACGATTCTTGAACTATTCACTAAAATGTTTCTATCTTATTGTATACAACTTCATTTACACTTTGGGATTTTTTTTATCAGACTTTAGACAAAAGCAGCAGATTATCAGAAAAGGAGCTTGCAGAGGCTGCAAGTCGATGGGCAACTGAAAAGGCAGAGAAAGTAGAGGCAAGCAGTGCACCTGAAATTTCAGAGTATGATGTGAGTAAAAATAACGCTAATAAACATTTGTACATGGTCATTTATTTTATTCATTCATTTATATTCTGCCTTTCCTCCTGTAGCTCAGTTCTTTCAGTACTGGGCTTGCAATTATGTGAAATAGGTTGAACAGAAAAATAATGAGTAATATACATATGTTGAATGGATGATGTTTCCTAATTGCTAACCTCACCATATTACTAAATTTGATAATTCTATAGTTATCAACTTAAATTGTGCAAGTCTGTAGTCCAGACTTGGGCATTTTATACTCTGTGGGCCACATAATGATAAAATAATGTGAATCGTAGGAAAACAAGCAGCTGCTGAAATAAAATAAACAGTGCTGCCTTGGCCAGAATGCAATATGGACCTCATGTTCTTTTCAAATTTCTCATTCTTCTTCCACAGTAACTATATTACTAAAACTGTATGTATTCCTCAGTATAATTTGATTTCACTTAATTTGTATTCTTTGCTTTATGCATGTTTAAACTCTGAAAGATAGTATCTTAAAATGTATTTATTTATGTCCCATCTTTATTATTTTTATAAATAACTAATGGCAGCAAACACAGCTAATACTTTTTCCTCCTGGTTTCCCCTCAAGAGCAACCCTGTGAGATAAATTGGGCTCAGAGAGAGAGAGAGAGAGAGAGAGAGAGAGAGTGGTCCAAGGTCACCCAGTTAACTTTAGTGGCTAAGGTGGGACTAGAAGTCTTGGTCTTCCAGTTTAGAGACTGGTGTTTAATCACTAGGCCAAACTTTCCAGTGTAATACATCTGGTTGCTCTCACAACACATCAGATCTGAGTTATGTACCGTTTACCCAATGATTTGTAATATATTTTGGTATCTAGTTTAATGTAAGTATACATACATATTTCACACGTAGAATACATTTGATTTTCTAATGTAAACGGTGAGGATTGCTTGAAATACAAGAATCAGATAACTAATGGCAATTATTAAATTTAACAATATTTCATATAATCCATTTTAGCCACATAAAATTATTCTTCATTTTTAAAGGCCACATCCTCGGATCCGTTATATATAAAACACCATGAAGAAACAGGTGCCAGTGTAACAGACAGCAATGAATTATTTGAAGACAACCATCATATTAGTCGCTCAAAGGCAATTGCTCAAAAGACAAAGGAAATTGAACAAGTAAGCCACACTTTGTTTACTTTTATGAATATTTGTGAGGGATTTTTTTTCCTCCAAATTAACTTTGCCAAACAATTTGACTCAAAGTTTTAACTGATTCACACAACATAGTTTAAGATAAAATAAATAGCAAATTTATTACACTGATTTAAATTTCTAAAATAAATCTGGCACTTACTTTTACTACAAAAAGGGTTTAATTGCTTTTGCTATTTTTTGTTTTTTTGTTGTCAAATCAAAATCACACATTCATTGGATTGAGAATATATAGGAATGCTTCGCGAGGTTAGCTTGTTTCACTGTCCTAATAAGTGTTTATTTTAGGAAGTATAAGGTTGTATTTTCACTGTAATTTGCTTTGTCATGACTTTATTTTGGAATGCTATTCAATAATGAATGGATAGAGTCACGACTACCTCCAGTGTTACTGCTTGTGAACATCTATTAACTTTTGTGGTGCAATGGAGTAAATGCTGAGAGCAACACACATTTCTTCGCATCTCTATTTAAATGTTTAACTCGTCTTCCATTCTTAAATCATTTTATACTATTTTTAATTTCAATATTTGTTACTGTGAAAGTAGCGAAAATTTCCGGTGAAATATGCAATACAGCAATATAGATCTAGAGTAAGTATATTTGATCCCTTTTATGAAGCTGTAGCAACAGCTGCTTGGAACCACATCTATTTTAGGGTCTAGTAAAAATGATTATTTTGAATCTTTCCCAATATGCTGCTTTTTAGATATGTTGAGACTGCAACTTTTGCAGCATGGCCAGTATGCCCAAAGAGAAAAGCAGCTTAGAAAAGAAAATAACATTTCCAGAAATTTTGAAGAAATGGGGAAAAGCACTTTAGGGAAAAATAGTAAGGGGAAAGAAAAATAAAATCTTAATTTTTAAACAAGTGCTTTGATACCACCTTGTTACAAGATTACATTTTAGAGCAGGAGCCTCCAGCCTTTTGAACCTCAGGGACCATCAAACTCATTCTTTTAAATCCTGAAGACCACTAATATGAATTTTTTAAAAAAGTAATATATTTAATATAAAATTTTTATTTTTTATATTAAATATAAATGTACTATTTAAAAAATTATATATATATATATTGTTTAAAAGCACTTGTTTAAAACGTTGCTACAACTTTAAAAGCACAACTATAATGACGTGGGAAAATACCCGAACAAAGCTGAATACCATATATATATATGTATGTATGTATGGTATTCAGCTTTGTTCGGGTATTTTCCCACGTCATTATAGTTGTGCTTTTAAAGTTGTAGCAACGTTTCGGCAGAATCTCATCTGCCATCATCAGGCTTCTGTATTGTGTTCGTCTGTGTCACTTGGGGGGAAATCAGGTCTTCAGTGCAATTCAGAAGGCTAGGTTGGTAGAGGCCTGCCAAATTTCAACTGGTAGAGTGTTCTGCAAGGCAGGGATAGCTATGGAAAAGGCACACTGCTTAATACCCATAAGATGGTAATGGTTAAAGGAAGGGATTCAGAACATGTTCATACTATATGATATGTTAGGATGGGTAGATGTCCTTAGGAAAGGCAGTCCTGGAAATAATCTGGCTCTGTGACACACAGAACTTTATGTGATGACCAGCACCTTGCATCCTGAAAGAAACTACAAGCCAGTGCACCTCACCTAACAGTGCACATGGGTAAACCCATCACAATACATGACACCACATTATGAATCAGAGTCCTATGCATCCTGACTTGGCATTTTGATCAGTGAGGTTAACAGCTTAATGTTTAAGATTAGTAAATATAAGAATTTTTCAATCCCTTGTTGTCAGGGAATTGCACAGCCGGTGTCCAAATGGAGTCGGAGATGCTGACAAGAACTTGTGATTTTATATAAATAAATATATTTACAGTAAAAAAGAGAGGCAAACAGCAGCATAGTCAGGTAAATCAATACAGCAGGAACATCATCAGGTAAATCACAGGGCAAAAAGGCGGGAAACAACAAAACTCCATTACTCTCACAGCAACTAATTGCAGCTCAGATTCCCTCATGCAGTGGCCAGCTCTCTTTAACCAGTTAGCTCTCTTTAACAAATTATAAGTGTGTGTTCTTAGTCATTGTCCAACCTTTCACTGCTCCAGCTATTAAATTTTAAGTATCTTAACACCCCTCCAATTTATAGCTGGACAGCATTTAAACCAAATTGTTTCACAAGATCCTTGTGTTTCTGTACACCCAATGGTTTTGTCATGAGATCAAGCAAATGATCTTCTGATGGACAATAAATTAGGTCTATTACATTTTCTTTCACTGCTTCTCTGACATTACAATACTTTATATCAACATGTTTGCTTCTGGTTTATTACTCTCTTACCTGTTTCCATCTGTGTACATGCTGTGCTATCTTCAAACACTGGTATAGCTCCTTTCACTTCAATATCCAACACTTCAAATCCTTCAACAATAAGTATATTTTCTTATTTTGACTTAGAACATACCCTCCTTAAAGTTTCTTTATTTCTGTTTCTAAATAGTTCTTTATTTCTCCTAGATACTTTACATTTATTTGTTCTGCCATAGGCAAATTCATTTCGAGGCCCACAAAAAATACCACATATCTTCACCTCATCAACTTTGAATCCCTCTGGAGGAACATCTTGTTTGCTCTTTCAGACCTCCCTGGAATAAACTATTCATGTTTCACTGGGATCTCACTTTCTAAACATTATCCTGGATATTTGTTCTATGTGCCTGTGTGAGTGCTCACCCACTGGAGACCTCTGACGTAACAGGCATTAAAATATCAGTATTGGCATATACTTTTTCCTAATTCTCATGTTTTGAAAAATTTGCAGAATGTGAAATAATGCATTTTTGTGTCCATCTGTAAACCTATATGCCTTTGATCCTGACTGATAACCTATAAATTTCAATATCCTTGTCTTTGGCTCTATTTTCTTTCTAATTGTTTTGGGAACGTGCACCAATGCTCTGCAGTCAAAGATTCTTAAATGTGCTAAAATTGGTTGTTTTCCATACAACATATAATATGGAGTTTCAATCAACTGCTAAGCTCCATAGTCTATTGATCAAATAATTAGGAGTTAAAATTACCTCAGCCCAATATAGTTTAGTCATTTCTGTATCTGCTACCAGTGCATCATTCATAGTCTGTAACACACCATTCCTGTATTCAGTAACTCCATTCTCTGCTGAAGTATAGGGGTTGGTTCTTCTTTTTTATGTTTTATTAGATTTTTATTTTTAAATATCAATGTCAATACATGAACAGTGTGGTATAATACAATTTGATACAAATATCAATAATGATAATCATAATAGTTGGACTAGATATCTCATTCACTTTCTCCTCCCTCCCTCCCTCCCTCCCTCCCTCCCTCCCTCTTTCTTTCTTTCTTTCTTTCTTTCTTTCTTTCTTTCTTTCTTTCTTTCTTTCTTTCTTTTTTCTTTTTCTTTCTGTCCCTTCCATCTCCACCTCTTTCTTTGTCTATCCCTTTTCTTCCTTTCTCTTTCCCTCCCTGAATTGCGCGCTACGAGGGGCCCACCTTCACTCCTCTGTCACCTCCTTGCCTCGCTCCCTTGCCTCTTATCACCTCCCTAAGTCATCCCACCGCCCCCCAGGGGGCGGTACGGCCCACTTTGGGAATCACTGATTTAAATAGTCCAGGAAGCTTCTGCAAGACAAAGATCACTTTGCTTTACTTAAAAGTCTTCCTTATTCTCATAATAGAGTCTCCAGTAATCATACAGTAAGTAGTTATAGAACAGTAAGTGTTACCACAGTCCTCCATATGAATGTTGTTTATTTCTCTTGTCAAAAGGTATTTCTAAACTTGTAGGGGTCTGGTATATTCCATTCACTAGTAGATGGCTCCCTCAGTTAGGTTTCAGCATTGTTTCAAGTCTTGTAATTTTAATTAATCCAAATTTAATTAAATTTATGGAAGCAAAGTCAACTATTCAAATAGATTCAAGTAGATAGTCCAGCATTTTATAATGCCTTCCAAAACAATGCCTGACCAATTTAAAAGTCCAATTTTCTGTGTTTTAAAAGGTCTTTAGCTTTTCTCCCAAGGTTCCTTTTCTGTTGTGGTCTTCCGGCAGCCTGCAGAGACAGAAGCAGAATCAGACAGTGGGGAAGAACATGGGCAAGTCCGGGAGTCCAGGGAGGACTTGGACGATGGTCCTGCATCCTATACAGAGATGGGGCCAGGGCCATCTGGGAGTTATGTGCTGACTCCGGAGCCTCCAGAACCTGACAGCAGTGAGGCAGAGGAGCAAGAGGAGCCTGTTCCCAGTGCATGTGTGCACAGAGCTGCCAGAAGGCAAGAGCAGTTAAGACAAAAGGTCCTAAGAGGTCTGTAGGGAGTGTGCATAAGTGCATCAACGTGCCTACCGTCCCTCCTGTTGTTTCTTTTTATTTTTCTTATATGTATCCATTTCATGTATTCATAACTATGTTTATACTTATACCTGTTATCTTATAATCGCTTGACAAATAAATAAATAAAATAAAATAATAAAATAAATAAAATAAGATAAAATAAAATAAAAATAAAAATAAAAAGGAGCGACTCGGGAGTAAGGCTTGGAGATGATTGCCCCTCCCATAAGATATAAAGGAAATGGAAAGGGACAGGAACCTTTGCAGGAAGCAACATTGTTCACTCTGGTCAACCTGAAAGCTCTGTGGTGAATTTGTGCTCCATTTGGTTTTGAAAGACTAATTGGTACTTTAGTCATTGGCAGTACTTCAAGTAGGGTAAAGGTGTGTTCTTATCAGACTTCTCCCAAAGAACTTTGGTAGACTTCCATGAGACTATTTAGCAGATTTCCATGGGACTACTACTTGTTGAGACTCATTACGGGCTGTGAATGATGATAATTCACAGCTGTTGAACTAAAAAAAGAGGGTTTTGCATTTAACATGTGTTTGTTGATGTCTCAGGAAGCCTCAGGAGGGTTTTGCATTTAACATGTGTTTGTTGATGTCTCA